TTTTATGACGATTCGAATAGTATACTATTTCTGCATCAGACTCTGAACTCCACAAGAGTAGAAACAACATCTACTTCGTTTATCAGTTTGACCAAAGAATGCAACACAATCCTGGAAACAAGTTGGCATTCAGGGAATAGTTGAAAATAAACATGATATTCAGGAAATAAATAAATAGATAAACCTAATTGCTAAATTTAAATTGAAAGCATATGCAATGAAAATCAAATACTTTCACTATTGTGAAATTTTATTTTTCAAATATAATTTCCCTCCAATGCCAATGTATAAATTTTACTTATAAAATAAAAAAATCTAGTAAATGAACAAATGATTTGTTTCTTGCTAGATAATATTTTAAAATTCCTATTACATGTGTACATATATATGAATGTATGTATGTATAGCTTTATTTTAATAAACTTGTTCACTTCAAAATTCACTAGGACAATATTTATAATTAATTAGCTCATTCTTAAATTTGTTTAAAACATTCATGAAAAAGCACAAAATAAAATTTGTCTAAAAAAATGCAATTTCAAGAAAGGTTATATTTCTCTGTAGTGATTTGTCAAAGTAGAAAATTCTCGGGCACGAAAGGCCCTAAGCTGATATTTTATGGGTCATGAGCAGCTGTTGCAAATAATCTTTATTTTGCACAACAACAGCCAGACAATATTTTATATTTGGGATCTGCAGATTAAAACACTGTCTCCTGTGGCCAGAAGCAAATTGGAAAACAGTAAAATCCATGTCATTTCAGGCAGATATTCTGCACATGGTTGACGTAATCAAGTAACATCCGAAGACGGCACTCTGCCGTCATATCAAAATTCTAAAGTGTGTAGAAGCATATAAAGACCAAGAGACAGAGCTTAATAGAAATACTGACAAAAGGAAGACTTATACCAGATACCAAGAATAACTACAAAATGGAAAAGGCTTACTTATTGAGGGTAAGTGAAGTTATGTCAAAAAATTCCGTTTTGCAAAAGTAAACAGAAAAGACCTCTTCAGTTATATCAGAAAAAGTTGGTGGTGAAGGAAATTCGTCTTATTAGAGTGGAAAGGAAAACTGATAAAAGATGGCATTAGAAATAGGAGCTTCCAATGGATGCTTCTGAGGATTTCAGCTCTATTAGAGATGATAAAAAGTGACTTTAAAACTGGTTTAGGTGGTATGCTAATTTGAAGAGTGAAGAATCCAATCTTAGCTGTTCTTATGGAGCAGTCATACTGAAGAGACTCTAACGTGTTCAGGAATCTGTTTGGTGAGGGAAGAATGGTAGTGAGAAGTTCAGACAAAATCCTAGGAAAAGCTAATGTGATCACATTGAAGATACATATTTCTTTTAAGGAAGAATAGAGTACTGACAACCATTTGAGTGGGATTATACCTTGAATTGTATAATTTCTCCTCAGGGTCCAGAGGATGTTTATTTGGATGAGCCTAAGGATCCATTTCTCCATGCCAACTGTGGAGCAAATTATTATTGCTGGAGAGTCACAGAATAAGAAATATTGATGCACAATCAATTCCTAATTACCAGGTTCAAATTGGTCTTCAGCAGTGCCTGGCAATTCTACCTACTTCTTTGGCCAAGTGGCTCTCCCTTTCTACAATATTTCAACATTTCTTTATTTTCCTCAAACCGTTAACGTAATTCAATCTCCAGTGGTTACACCCTGTCCCAAGCAGCAATCATCTCTCATCCAAACCAAAATAACAGCCAGGTATTTCCCTCTTCCATTTTCTCCCTCCTTCAGTCCATTCTCCAGACTAAAATCTGATTACTCTCTTCCCCTGATTGAATCACCTTCCAGAGAACAAAATCTATAACCTGCCTACAACTTCACCTCAAACCCCTGCCCCTTCACTTTCTACGGTTAATTAAAGTTGTCTTTAATTACCCAAGTGCACAATGCTTCTCCCATCCTTATCCCCTCCTATTGGTTTCCTGGGGCTGCTGTAACAAAGTACCACAAACTGAGGGACCTCAAACAGTAGAAATTTATTGTCTCACATTCTGGAAGCTGGAAATCATAAATGTTGGCAGGGCCATGTTCCCTTGGAAACCTGTCGGGAAATCCTTCCTTGCCTCTTTGTGGCTCCTGGGGGCTTGCTGGCAGTCTTTGACGTTCCTTGGCTTGTAGATGCATCCCTCTGTCCTCCGTCTTCACTTGAGTTCCCCAAGTGTTTCTCTCTGTTTCCAAATTTCTCTTTTATACCAGTCATATTGGATTAGGGCCCACCCTAATAACCTCATTTTAACTTGATTATCTGTATAAAGACTCTATTTCCAAAAAACATGCATTCTGTGATAGTGGGGGTTAGGACTTCAACATATCTCTTTTAGAGGGACAAATTCAACCCATAGAAACCTACTGTTAACACAGGAGCTTTTCACATGGTGTTTGTTCCCCAGAAATCTCCTTTGTAGCCCTCACCTTCTGCCACCTTGCCCAGCCACCCTGCCAAGTTTCAACCCAGAATAAGTTTTCTTAAGGAAGACTGATGCACAATCTAAATATGTTTTCCCAGTAAATGCATTCACATGGCCATATACCTTGCCTTTGTAACACTTGTATTTGTAACTTGACATTTATGGGTGAGCTTATCTGATCAGTATCTATCTACTTCACTGTACTGTGAGCTCGCGAAGACCATTTTTCCTCACTGTTGCATCACTACAGTGTCTGGAACACCACAGAGGGCATTCAATAAATATTTGGCTGAATGAATGAATAATAAATCAGACCAGAAATGGCAGAAATGTCAGCTTGGTTTCAAAATTTCTACATTCACTAAAGTGTTATTGAGAACATAAATTGATTGTTTCCATATAATTCAAGTAAAACAATATTCTACCTGTGAGGAAATAATTTCTCTAATATTAGACTAATTGGCCAAAAAAATCAATAGGAAATTTTCAGTTTATTTTGAGTCATCCATGCTGCAGTAGCTGTACCACACTCTAACCCTGCTCATGTCACTCAACTTCTCTTTTTAGTCTCAGAAAATCAACTGTCTAAACACTCAAATTGCAGTCATAAATTTCCAGGGCAAGCCAAAAAGCAAAAGATTATGACAGAGTTGAGGATGTCCAGTTCAGTACAACAAAATTAGTGATAAGTGCTGTGTTGACTCTGGAAACACCCACAAAACAATGTAATGAGAGAAATGCTCTGTAAGTTATGACAGCGGCAGTGGGAACTACATTCAAAGCCTCTGTATGTTTGACTTTAATTTTGCACGTAAACACTTTTGGGTTCGGAGGCAAAATGCGACTTCTGATTCTTTGGAAGGCGTCTACCTTTCCCACAGTCCCTTACATGAATCGTTCTATTCAAAGCCGTAATCTGTATCTATATGACTCTGAAGACGGGCAGAACTGGTTTAGTCAAGCTCTTACCATCTGGGTCATTTTGATCAATTTACTTAATTTCTTTAAGCATCAGTTTTCTTTTCTATAAGATAGAGATAATAATATTATTTGATTGATTGGATTATTCCGGATCTTAAATATATATAATGTATATAATAAGTTGCCTGGTCATGGTTAACAATTTAATGTGTTGCTATTATTATCTTCATCAACATAAGCATGACAGGTGAAGTTTAAACTGTTTTCAGCTTCAGACACGTGCATTTCATTTTCTTTGTATGATTTACTTTATTTTCCTAAGCCAAAATATTGTTTTTTATGATGTTTTTATATCTAACGTTCACTTTTACCTATTAGCTGTCATACATAATAAATTAAGAATATTTCCTGTAAGTAAATTATGACTAAAGTTAATATTACAGATAGCACATAGATAAGTTCCAATATAACTACTGAAAATTGAATTCTGCCTAACAGTTATAAAAGCAAAGAGCAGTAAGCAAATTAATGAGTTATCCTTACTTTGAAATATTTATACTGAAGGTTAAAATGTTTTTGCCTTAAGTAATACTCATTCTCTGATGAAGGCATTACCTTTCAAAATTTTGTATAAATCAGAATATATTTGAAAAGTACAAAATGTCCAACAGTAAAAATAAAACAATCTAAATAATATGTTTTATTGATAGAAATGCAAAAATATAATTATGTTATTTTCTACTCTGAATATTCGCCAGAATTTGGCAAATAGCCATATTATCCAATTTAAAATTGGAAATTGATTCTCCCAGACATATTGTTACTATTTTCCCAGGTGAATAAAGCTTGACATCTGTTACCATATTCAGAGAGTTTCCAATTTCCCAAAAAGTTGCATTCTAAAAATCATATGTAAGTGTGATTTTTTTAGAGCCTCAAATATGTCTTTCTGCAATAACTATGTTACACACAGTTAACATAGACACTAAGAAGATTTTCATGATGCAGCATGAATTCAATTTTGGAGGTAACAGGAAGGCAAAGCCTTAATCACACTTGATTTATTCATACTTATCTGAATCCTGAACTTGTCTCTTGTTGCTGTTAAATGGATATGTTGACAATATCCTTCACAGGGGTTCCTCATCTTTGTCAATCACGTAGGTATTATCCATATTAGTTCTCTAGAATTTTCTTCTAAAAATGGAAGTGTTAGGGTACAGAACTCGTATTTTTAAGCACTTGTTACACACCTTTGCAGTTCCATTTAGCAGACATTTATGAATTCTGATGATGGGCCAGGCACGGCGCTGAATAATCAGCACCTTTCACTTACGGTGTTTCTGTTGATCTTGACTTCACCTCTAAAAGGTGGGTGTTCTTATTTCTATTTTAAAAATAATGAAGCTGAGGTTCAAAAGGTTAGATAAGTGGCAGAGTAGGATCTGAACCTCGGTCTGCCTGATTTCTAAGACTATGCCATGATTCTCTTCTGTGCTGCCTCTACATGAGCAAAATCCTGTCAGCTCGTTTACCAGAAGAGAGACAACCCTGGCCATTGAAAGCCCTTTGAAACTCCGTTTTAAATCCCACTAAATGGAGAGCTGACAAGGTGATTTGTTTGTTTTGATACAGGTATATGGCCATCATCGATCCCTTGAAACCCCGACTGTCTGCCAAGGCCACCAAGATCGTCGTAGGCGGTATCTGGATTCTCGCGTTTCTGCTCGCCTTCCCCCAGTGTCTTTACTCCAAAACCAAAGTGATGCCTGGCCGCACGCTCTGCTACGTGCAGTGGCCAGAGGGTCCCAAACAACACTTCACGTGAGTTCATTCTCCATCATGATTTTCAGTTCAGTGTATTGAACACTGAACTGTAGGCTGGGAGCAACAACTAAGCAAATAAGACACAGACATTTCCCTCAAGGGCTCACGCTATTGGGGAAGGAGATGTGAAAATGCTGTAAGACAGTGTGATGTGGTTGATAAGTCTGTATAAGTCACACAGGTTTCCAACTGGGAAAATGTGATGACTTCTCTGTGGGGCACTCTGGAGTGCTTCCTGGAGGAGGTGAGGAGACCCCTGGAGATGGAAGCAGTGCACAGAGTGAAGCGGGTTGTTGTTGATGAGAAATGACCAAGGAGGGAGGCCAGAGGCCCCGAGGTGCTGATGGCTCTTGGAGGAAGCCTGACTGATGGGAGGGGAGTCCTGGTGGGTTCTTGGTCGTGTTCTGTTGTTTTAGCATTGAAAAAACTTAAACACTATGTTGGAAAGGAAATAGGACGCTGCGTATATGATAGAATTTGGTATTTCATATTTTGGACCCACTCTAAGAAAAGCAAAAGAAAAAAATCCTAATTGTGCAATTATTTGCATTTTGTTTTTTATTCTGGTCATTTAAATTTTATTTCAGTGAAAATCTTATTTAGTGACCTATTTTTCCCTTTAAAAATAAAAAATGATGCAAACATAATGGTCATCTTTTAAAGCAGCCATTTTATCAAACTCTGCCTTACCCAGAGTCCAGATTTTTAAAGAAAAATGTTAGGAAGTATTTACTGAAGGAAAAGCAGGCAGAAGTAATTAAACTGAGAACTGCATTCCATCCTTTATTAATAAATCTTAGTTGGATGATAACAAAATAAAATTAGTTATAATAATAAAATTAATTTTTTTGTGGACTGAATCGCTTCCTCATTTGATCAGGAACCAGGAAGGTGAGGAGGCTTAAGACTTGGTTTATAAAAGACACAGGTGTGAGGAGACTAGCACACCAACCTCTTCAATTACCTTCCAGCCTCCCTTAGACAGCGGGAGCTGCACGAAGCTTATACAAATTCCAGTCTGGCTGTTGCATTATCGGTTGCTGTCCTGTTCCTCCCTAACTGCATCCTTATAATTTGATCGAAAGCCATGAAATCCTAGAATTTAGTTTAACAATTTATAGTATCATGACTTTGGTGTCACTAACACTTTTGTATGTTATTTACTAAATTAATAATGCAACCAAATGTGCTATGACTTTGGAAAAATGCTTGTAAACATCTTTACCTGATTTTTTTAAATCACAGACAAATAGCTTGTGGGTCCAATGTGGCTCAGAGTATCTAGCTACATTTTTTTTCCATTTGGATGAAAACCAATTTATTTCAAATACGACTGATGTTACAGGGATGCATAGAAGAGTCTTCCTTAAGAAGAACATGCCTGTCGGTTGGTTGGTTTATTCTGTCCCACCTCTTTTCCTCTGATGACCCTCTTGATTGGGTTCACGCCACAGCCACACGCAGAGGACAGGCATCATCCTGAACTTCTGGGCAGGGGACACGTGTGGTTTCACTGAGCACTGCGGCTCAGCTGTGGTTTTCAGATGTGAGGCAAAGACTGACAAAGATTGACTGGGAGCATTCGGACGACTGCAGTGACAGTAGCATATTTTGATGGATTTGTGAAATGATGACTTAGAGAAAATGTGGAAGTAATGTTTGCATTTTCAGTTATGACTTAAAATGGAATAAATTCAAAGTCCCCCAGATTACGAGCCAACATGCTCTTCTCATTTCTTGCAGGTACCATGTCATCGTCATCGTGCTGGTGTACTGCTTCCCGCTGCTCGTCATGGGGGTCACGTACACCCTGGTGGGACTCACGCTGTGGGGTGGGGAGGTCCCGGGAGACACCTGTGACAAGTACCACGAGCAGCTAAAGGCGAAGAGGAAGGTACTGTCCGCGGAATTACCTCGCGTTTCTGTCGACTACAGCGCAGCGCAGAGGGAAAAACCAGTTATGGCATTTTAATAGAACAGGATCTGATGCTTTACCACTATTTTTTTTCTCCTCTTTCTCTCCTTTCGTCAATCTTTTCTTTTACTTGCTTTTGTCTTCCATAAGCCGCTGTCCATGTGCAGTACCAGCCTGTGACAGACACTTTCCCACAGCAGGGCTTTTTATTACCTTTTGCAGAATATTCTCAATTACTCCACCTGAAAATTCTAAAATTTCACTGTAAGTGGAATCCCAGTTGACTGTATTTCTGCAGCTCTAGGTATCTCTGTCCTCTACTGAACAGAATGCCTTTGATGTACTCTATAACCTTCCAGAAACTTCCTTTATCCCTCTTTCCCAGGAATCTCTCCCATTCTCATAGGTCCTGTAATGTCCTAATATCCACACGCCTTCTCCTCCTCTCTCCCTGTCTGGTTTCTACACAGCCATCCTTAAGTCCGATTCAGAGAAGAGAGCTGCATTAATATTCTTCTACAACTTGTTGGGTGACATGAGAAGACCTATTTTGAACAATTCATATTAAAGAAGACCTCTAAAAGTTATTATGTTGACATTTTACTAGGATTATTTTTTTCATTAAGATTTTCTTCTGACTACCATTATATGACTCAATGACTAAGGTTTTTTTAAATAAATTTGTGGAGTTAAAAGGAATCTTAGGGGCTGGCCTGGTGGGGTAGCCGTTAAGTGCTCACGCCCCACTTCAGTGGCCCGGGGTTCATGGGTTCAGATCCTGGGTGCGGACTGAGACACTACTGGTCAAGCCATGCTGTGGCAGTGTCCCATATAAAGTAGAGGAAGATGGGCACGGATATTAGCCCAGGGCCAATCTTCCTCAGCAAAAAGAGGAGGATTGGCATCCGATGTTAGTTCAGTGCTGATCTTCCTCACCAAAAAAAAAAAAAAAAGAAAAAAAGGAATCTTAGAGTCATCTATTCCATCTTCCTCTCTCCAGCGGATGTGCAACTAATGCAAACCAGAGAGGTTTTTCCAAGGACAAGAGAGTCATGCTGATTATGCCAATTGTTATTCATTCCATTTATGGTTCACTTATTTATGTAGAACTACTACCAACTCTGCGGGCACTTCCCTTAAAAAACACTCAACAATTTTAAAACCACTTATCTACAAACACTCACTTAACAAAGATCAACCAAATTTTAAAAATCTAATGTAGAAAATTGATTTCATTTTAATACTAACATTTTTTTTTCTATTATTGGCAAATCATGGTAAAACAGGACATGTTTGGTTAACATTTTATCATGATCTCTAGTATTTGAAAGCAGAAAGTAAGCATGACCTTTTTCACATCAATTTACTTATTTCAGCCTATAATATATATAATTTCATTTTATTTCCCATTCAGAAAAACTTACCTTAAAATAAAGCACACAAACAACCAAACTATGCCTTTAGCACCTAAAAAAAATTCTAAAGTTCAGAGAACTTCAGTAACGTCGTTTTATATGAACAGTTTCTCTTTCTCTTTTGTAATTTCAACTCTCATTTTCTACTATCTTGCTCATGTTGCAAGATACTCTTTTGGGGAATATCTTCTCAGAGCTGTGTTTTAGGCATCATCGCATTAAATAACTGACGTGATGTTCTATGTATCACAGAATAATTTCTGTCTTTGCAGGACCCACTGGTTTCTTGTCTTTTATTTCTTCTTGGTTTAGCATTTTTAAAAGTTTTTTTCCTGTTCCCTCCTAGACAAATTAAAATAAATCCAGTAGTTTTAGTTTGTAGTTATTTTTTCTTCAGAAACATGTAATGTTTTTCTATCGAGAAGTGAAAATTGAATTTGAGTGTTCCTTTATTTTTTGTGAGGAAGATTGGCCCTGAGCTAACATCTGTTGCCAATCCTCCTCTTTTTGCTTAAGGAAAATTGTCCCTGGGATAACATCCGTGCCAGTCTTCCTATATTTTGTATGTGGGATGCCTCCACAGCATGGCTTGATGAGCAGTGTGTAGGTCTGCACCGGGATGCGAACCCATGATCCCTGGGTGGCTGAAACGGAGCACAGAAACTTAACCACTACGCCACCAAGCCAGTCCCCTGAGCATTCCTTTTTATTTTTGACTTGAGTCCCAGAAGGAACAGAAGCAGAAGGGAATATTTTTGCTTTTGCCCATATATAACTGATGAGAATAAGGCATAAATATTCCCTTTTGATTTTACTATGCTACAATTTCAAAGTATAATTATCAATTCAAATGAGAGTGTGACCCTTCTGCAATATTTCAAGAGAGTAAGACATTTAAAAGATACAGTCTGTATGTCTTTCTCTCAGATTGTGTTCTGGCTTGAAATAATACAAAATGGCATTCATGCCATGGACTTCTCAGAATAAATCACCTTGTGCTTGGATTTCTTTCACGGTCGTTTATTGAAATGACCATCAATATCTCAGAAGTGACACTCATTTTGTCCAAAAATTTAAAATTTCAAAATATACTTAGGTCTTCTTTTAATTTCTTTCCTTTTGTCTAAAATTAAAATATTGTCTGATATGGTTTGGAATACAGTTATTTCTAATGATTATGGTATTTTCATATATTAATATGACTACTTAGATCACAGATATAAATCTGACCCTTGATGGGCGATTTAATTATATGCTGTCTCCTGGAGAACACATCTTTAGTACTACAGGTGGGACCTGAGAGATGAAATAAGACAGTGTTGGTTACAATAGTGCAAATTCATCACGACTGTTGGGAAAAACAACTCCATAAACATCTTTGAACCAGCCTCCTGGTAATAAAAGAATAGTGGATGTTGATTGAGCCCCCAAAGACACATGGACAAGAATAAATAAAAGCTTAAGAAATTCTAGTCAGATTGCTGAGATCTTTGCAACTATTGGGAAGCATTGCTTCCAATTCTCTTTCTCCCACAATCTTTAGGAGTTGTGCTCAATTTCAAGTTCTGTAGGTTAAATTCGTTGAAGAACAGCCAGTACAAATAAATTATGTTTCGAAGTTACACAGCACCCAGCATGTCTAGAAATTAAACTAACATGAAGCTTTCAGATAATTTAGGATTAATCACTCCACTCGATCTTTGCATGTTCTGCCTAAGTGTATACATAGTCTGAAAATAATACCTGTGGTTCTGGCTGGCACCAGGTAAAAAGACTACATATTAGTCCTGAGAAATAAGTTAATACCTCTAGAAATATTTCCTCATCGTTAAAATGAGAGCATAAAACCTGAAAATCAGTACTAAAATTCTATGGCTCCAAGCAGTTTACTAAGCTCTAGGAGGCAATCTGTAGGATCGTCCAACATTTGAGTCACATATATAGAAGTAGTCTTTCAAAAAAATGTTAGCAAGCACATTAATAAACTCTTTCTTATGTAATGTATTTTACAATTTCAAAGCACTTTGTATACCTCATAACACAACCAAAGGTATCCTTAAATTATAATAAATTTTCTGGGTTTGAAAATCCTGTATATTTTCTACTCACTGACTTTAAACATAAGTCTATTTAAACATGTATATTGAAATGATAACGTCTCTTTAACGTAATAAAGTGGCTAACTTAAGAATCCCTGCACTTTACGTAGAGTGTCTTCAGATAGTAATAAAATATAAAATACCTATTAATATCACTAATCCCCAAAGCCTTGGTAACTGAGTTCTATTTTTGGGGGGTAATTGGTTAATATTCTTGCCAAAGCTCTGCTTCAGGAAATGTGTACTATTCAGTACATTGTTATAATATTCAAACAGAAAATTTAAATTCAAATATTTTTATGAATTTTTAAGAGGATGCTTTTTTAACATTTATTCTGTTTTCTGAGCTTGTTATATGAATGCTTACATTCCAGTGTGAGAATAATTTAGTGTCTAGGAAAAGAAACTGATCCTTGTCTGGTTTATTCTACTTATTTGCAGGTAAGTCACAGATTTTCGCTACCTATTAAACCTTGACTGAAATACCATGTATGTCACAACAATTATAAAACAAAATTTGAAATCTTACCTCTCTATTTAATATACCAAATGTTGGCATATGAAAAGTCAGATTTTAAATTCTAGTGCTCAACTCACAAGCTAATTTAAAATACATTTTCAGTTTAAAAACCCTGTTCCAGAATGATAGATCTGATCAGAACCTAAAACTTCATGAACCGCCTGCCTTCCTGCTCTTCTGGATTAAAATCAAATGCAGTGTGAGGAGGACATGAGCAGAGGGCTAACATCTCAGATTTAAGATTTGGGGTTAAAGAAATCAAATATGCTCTCTATTTTTTTTCAGTCTTGCCAATATCATCCTGTTTCCTTAACTATCTAGAAGTAAGGAAAGCATAGATCCTGTCTCGTAGGCCATTGTAATGCTCATTCGAGCTAGGAGCTTGTCTGTAACTAAATCCATACGGCTACAGCTTGAACTCATTCATTTTGGAAACAGAAGATTTGCCATCCATCTTTCTCACATAGTATTCTCATAAATTAACACTACTTTCTTGGCAATTTGGGTGAAAAAAAAGGTAGTGACCTTCTCTTATAAATGATATTAAGATTCTTGGCAATAACAAAATATATCCCAAAGTATTTGTGTGAGTCTGTTGGTGTCTTGGGATAACTACCTAGAATATAAATGCTAGAAGGCCAGTGGTTAGCAAGATGGGAAGAAAATAAATCTTACTAATTAGTAGATACGTGAGTTAGACATAAAACATAGCTAATATTTAAATGATTATAATTATTAAATTCATCTATAAGAAAAAGAAATGGTGGCTAGATAGAAAATGAAAACAATGAGAATAGTTATATCAACTTCAATTCATTCATCGAGGTCGTTTATTAAAAGTGCCTATTGTGGAAATGTCATAGACAAAGTCTGTCTGATATCAGAAAAAACATTTGCAGTCTTGTGATATCTTTATAAATCAGGTAAAGAAAACTGAACTAGTTG